CCCCCCACCCAACCCCCCCCACAAAAACAACCCCCCCCCCCCCCCCCCCCCCCCCCCCCCCCCCCCGCCGGGCCGGGGGGGGGGGGGGCCCGCCTTAATATACATAGACATGTGCTTGTAGTCAGCTCGCGTTACTGGAATATGTGGGTTTGGCGCACTAAAAAGGACCTCCTAATCAATTTGACTTTTGTCCAAATGCACTGATGGAAGATCCCGCTACTTTTCGTCACGGATACAAATGTGTTTATGTTGCTGTAGGTCGAATCAGATTAGAAATATAATGATGTAAATGTTTAACCCTTTGCCGCCTGGTGATCATCCTGCAGATTTAGTGCTGAGTTGACCGCAGGAACAGCTTATGTGGGTGCTCAATATGACAGTGGAATGGTTAAATTCGAGCGAAGTTCTTTCGCTGCGGAGGTGCAGAATAGGTCATTTACTACCCGTTCGAGTTGAGTGACATGAAAATTTCATTTTTTGTTTATTTGGTTTTGTTAAGGTTTTTGCAATTACGTGCAATTTGGTCTGTTTAAAGTTAGAAAGTTCTTCCTGTCACGAATTGTTTCGAAAACTGAAGAAAAATGATTCATCATAGGCTTAATTTTATCAAAGTCAAAGTTTACAATGAAAAAAATAACAGGGAAACCAATATCAGTGTATGGAAGATGTATATGTTTATCTTTTACAATGATACTCTTCAAAACAATTACATGTTAAAAGACACAAATGCATATGGATAGAAAATGGAAGAAGAGAGCAAAGAAGAACATGACCTGGAGAGGGTCCTAACAGACACTTCTGATTCTCATAGCAATGGATGTCATAGAAGTGTCAAAAACCTATTTTTCCATTCAATCTGAGTGCACTGTGTCAATGGCTTCAATTGAATGGCTATTAGTTCAAATAAAGTTTTTAGCGTGAATATATTGTTAATTATAAGCTTATATCGATAAACAAAATAGTTGCTGAAAGAAACCCTTTTTTTATGTCACTCATCCCGAATGGGTCAAAGATGACCCATGTTGTCCTAAAGGATACTGCTCCCATATCTCTAACTAAGAAATTTTTAAACGCTTTTCTGCAAACATATGACACTTATAGCAGTATATATCAACTGTTCGAACATAAAAATAATCAATCTGTGCAAGTAAAAAAACTTTTTTTCTTCATACTCAAATACCTTAGCCAAAGAGTGACGGAATAAAATTAATTTTCTACGAATCTATGGTTTATTGGATTCTCTACACAATGTTCAATATGCTTCTTGATCCAATGCTTTGTTATTCCACTACATCGTTTCTACGAATGGATCGACCATGACCCAAATGGGGGTAAGGAGTTAAATAATCGTCAAACGTAGTTGGCATTTCTTTCGATTTCAAAAAAGCATTCGACTATGTACCACACAAAATTCTACTGAGAAAACTATCCTTGGTCGGTGCTTCTGGTGCTCTATTTGACTTGTTCAAGTCATATCTGTCTGAGCGTATCCAGATAGTAACAGTGGGATCCGCTCATTCTACTTCAGCCCCTGTTATTTCTGGAGTGTCTCAAGGGAGTATTCTTGGTTCTATCCTATTTTTAATCTCTATTAATGACTTACTTTAAAGTCTAGTTTTCTGTTCTCTATTGTCGCTCTTTGAAGATGATCTTCTTAGTCTAGCCGATCCACACAAGGCACGAGCATGTATTTGTATGAGTATTGAAGGATCTAAGTGCTATTTTTATCATGACTTGTTAGAAAAAGTATTAAAAGAATTATGAACAATTGAAAATGGAAACTCTTAGTGACGTCTAAAAGGAGGACGAGATTTGTCCAAACTCGATAAAACCGGACAGAAGGAGAGTGGAAATGCTTTTTATTAAATGTAACGTCCTAAATGGATGATCTCTAACAAATGAAAACAGCTGCTCTTACCTGATGGAAGTAAAATAGAAAAATGAATTGTGCAAACAAAAACTGCAGTAGATTAGTTAACAGGCAAAGTTTACCGGCTCCACTAGATCCAACCAAGGCCACTTTGTCTCCATGAGAAACAACTAAATTTAAATTGTCCAGTACTTTAATGTCTTTTCTTGTGGGATATGAAAATTGAACATTGTTAAATTCAATATCACCAACTATATCAATATTTTCTTCAATCGCATTATTTGTTTGAGATAAATTGTTGTTAAGCAATTCCTCCAAATGAGATAATCATTTTATACCTCATATATTCTGTCAATTAAATCATACCTCTTCGTCAAGAGTCTGCCAAATTTCAGTAGCTGCTCCACATACTTCTGACAAAGAATGAATATTTTGAGATAAACTGCCGATGAGTAAAAAGTTCATTATAATAGCTGAAATTACCTGCGAAATAACATAAAATTAAATATTTTAATATTCTTGTATGTCAAGCAGATTAATAAAAGAATCTTACAAAACTAATATCTCCAATTAGTTTGTTTTTATTCATTTGGTTGTTAGTGTGTACAATTAGTCGATAACCGAAATATAAACCAATTGCATATGCAATAAATAATATCATTGAATAAATACCCATATAGCATCCAAATACAATACCTTTTTTTCTATTTTCATGTTTGCATGAATCCAAATATTTATTATAGCTAAACAAAAACAATCTCATAAGACAGCTCCATATAATGACATCTATAATTATTACCGTAACTGTTCGTATTCTGAACTATTATAAGCAAAAACTGTTCGGATTGAACTAAATATTTCTTGTGCTATTGCGGCAGATTTTGAATATGGTTGTAATTCCTTCATTGTCATTAATGCCGTTAACTAACAGATAATAATGAGTAGTAATAAAAGACAACAATATGAATGCGTTTATTTAAAAATAGTTATCCCATACTTTTGCAAATATTAATCCATTCACTATAAAGGACGGTAACAGCACTAGCATAATTAATGTTAATTTCCAATTTATAATAAAAGCTAATATAGTGGTATTAATACAAGAGAAAAACAGTGCCATAAGAGAATATAATTTGAAGCCTATACCATCGTGAATTTTATCGATATTTCTACAAAACGTAAGATTTGCCGATGACAACTAATTTTTATTTAATAGAGAGAACATACGTTGATAACTTTGAACTCATTTCACCTGCTTTGTGCGTATCATAATAATAGATATCCTAAAAAAGCTTTCGTAGAATGACTTCATATATATATTGGATTGAATCTTACTCTTGTTAAGAGAAATTTGTATAATTTAATACGAATACGATTTGTTTGCCGTTTGGACGTTATAGTTAACAATAAATAACCAAACAAGCTAAGTAACATTGTTATGCTTCCAACTCCTACAGTGTATTAATTAAACTGTTTAAATTCAAATAAATTTAATTTATTTTCCAAAAAATGATAGACAGTGACAAATAACAAGTTTACCTAATATGTAATAGAGTTTTTTGTAAGTCTCCTGGTCAAACATAATCAGTGATGATGATGTTGACATAATATCTTCACTATTACGAAATC